CAGTGAAAATCTAATAATGAATTGAATTTAAAAGCAGTTGTTAAAATAAATTTTATATTTTTTTCTTTTGAAACAGAAATAAAATTTTTATTTGATTTGTGCACGCAATAATATTGACTATGAAGAGACCCTATGATCCCAAGTAGGTACTTTTTTCTTCAATAATTTTATTGTTTGCGTTTAAATGGAAACATATGGGCAATTGGAATCTTTATTATAGTCATGCGGTCATTCACAAATAAATTAAATAATAGAATGTATTCATACATGTGTGGCTATTTACCTTTTATGCATTCTAAAAAAGGATCATCCTTTTTTATTTATATAATGTATGTACGTCTGAAGATACATATGTTGAAAGCATTTTAATAAATATTTTGAATTTCAAAGTGGCCATTTGGACACTATAAAATAAAATACTGAAATAAATTAATAGTTTTTAAAAATAATGTAATGTCGTTTCTTGGTACATGTGTGCTTATATGCATAATTGCATATTATGATTTGTGAGTCTTCGGATTAAAGGTGTGCAATATGATTTATTTTCAGCAAGGATTTTGGCAAAAAAATTTCGTTGATAATTTGAATGAAACTGATTTTCTTCAATAACTAAATTGTACGACATAAATAGTTTCTACAACAATTTCTTAAAATGGGATAAATACTAAAAGCCAATATTTTAGATGAAACCATTTTGTATTGATTTTGCTCATGAATGCTTTGTGATTTAGTTTTAAATAAAATATTAACTTTTAATTATATAGTAATATTTTCCTAGTAACTATAAAACTCATTTGTGTTTATTTGACTATGGTCACCTTTGATATCACAAGAATTTCGTACGATATTGATATAAATTCTTATACAAACACGCACACACACATAAGTATGTATATATGCATATGTGCAAACAAAAACGATCTGCAGCGATTTTATAACAACCAAATGTATGGTCCACAATATTTATGAGATCCTGACAAAAGAAAACAAAAGTAAAAGAAATCCCTTTTTTCGGCATAATAAGAATTTGAATTGTATATTTAAAATGTTATCTTAACCCCCTGTTTTTACTTTTTCCATTTATTTTCATAACAACAACTATATCTACTATTATAACGATTTGATAAAGGATGATGAAGGTCATTTCTTCTCTTTTTTACATAGGAATGAATATCTCAAATAATCGTTTTAGGTTTTACTTTTTTATCAATATACAAACCAATATCTACAGTATTAAAGATAAATAGCTGATGGTTGTGTTAGTAGTATGACGTGCCTTAATCGGAGTCTCACTTTTCTCTGATAATTATGGAAAAATTCTAAGAAGATAAATGCAGAAGAAAAAAATAAAGAATAAAACAAAAATAAATTATTTGAAAAAAAAATCATTATAATGACATTGAAATGAAAAGAAATTATTAAAATTTAAGTATAAAAGATTGTATATATACTACATATATATGTATACAGATGTGTATATGAATAAAAGAATTTACTATACACATGGTTGTAAGTAGGTATGTGAAAAAATATGACAAATGGGTATGAACCTTTGAAAAGAAAAATAAAGTTTTTGAGATGAATGAAAAAGGGACAAAATAAATAATTGAAAATTAAAGAAAATTGAAGTTGTTCCTGATAATTGTGGGTTAGGTGCAAAACCAAAATTACCAATTATAACCTCTTTTGCTTCGCTTTAAAAGTCAAGGCAAATTAAACAAAATCAAAGTAAACAGAGCTATCATATGCCTAATTAGAAATTTATTTGAGCGCGTTAACAGCTGCCACTATTTCTTTTCTCCCAAACAAGTAATTCTAATTTTTTCGATTTCATGAATTCATTTTTTTCCAAACATTTCTCAAAAAAAAATGATTTTCTAAGAAAAAATTTATTTTTTTTAAAAATTTTTGCAGAACTATACAAAAAAAAATGTTTTTAAGTGGGCATTTCGTTACTTAAATTTGAACCAAATACGAATAATAAAATAACTATAAAATAGTCTGAATAAATAAATATTAAGTAAAATGATTAATTTTTTAAAATAAAATTAATTTTTATCGAATAGTTCAAAGTTTTCTTCATTATTATATTATTCAAAACAAAATATACACGGAACGGTTCTCTATTTAAATCTGTTTAGTTTATACCCTCTTCATTTATAAGTCTATTACAAAAGACTTTATATATGTATGTTTAATATATGGTTTTTACTATTACGAACGGAGAAACTCAAGCAACATACACATAGATTATGGACATTCAAAACCACGATAATGGTTGAATTAAAAAGTTTAAAGTTACTTCATTTATAAGTAGGGTTTTATTTTTTTTAAATATACACACATATATGTATGGATGTATATACGTGTCATAATAATAATAGTGAAGGAGTGTATGGTTCGATTATTTTAAATGAACTGTGTATGTATGTATATAAAAAAATTTCATTATTAAATTTATAATTTGGAAATTGATATTAATAATTTATACATAACATATTTATGGACTAATACATAATTACAAACATTTAAATCAATAACTTATAAGAAACAGTAATATCTCGATATATTTAACACAATATGACATTATAAGATCTACAGGACGACTTTTTTTGTTGATGTGAGGGACCAGGGCCTTGTTGAGTTTCTCACGTTAAACCATCGAATTTTTCTCTACATTAGCATTAAACATATAGGCCCCTGACATATTACTGTATTGCTACCACTTCGATTTTTTGTATGATAATGCTAGATTCAAAAGAACATCAATTTATAAATTATGTTTATTTTGTATTGGATTAATTTCTTGATATTTCCTTGCTCTGATGTCTAAAAGTAAAAGTAAAACAGAGAGTTACGATTCTCTAAGTTCATTTTTCTAAGCATTTCGCGGTATTGATTTATGACCACACATTTTTTACTTTATATTCGTATTTACGTAAATGCATATATAATTACATACTAATAGAAACATTTCTAAATGCATAGAATTCAATGTAACTCTTACATTTTTGAAATATTCAAAATTATAGTTTTCAAAAATTAGATTTTTTTCTTTAAAAAAAAAGTTTGTGATCACAATGTCAACGAACAGGGATTTCTATAAATATGTACATACATATGAATTCCTCGCATGCAGCTTCCTTAAAGAAATTTTTCTATTTTTAGTTTTGAAAGGGTATTTTTAGGTTTTTGATAAATTTAGATGCACCCAGTGTTAAAATTTTAATTTTATAAAACTATTTTTAATTTTTTTTGTTTTTGAAATATTATTTATGATCTCTAAGGAATTTCGGAAATAAAGAATTAAGGGAGCGCTATTTGATCCATTTCATGTTTTCGGTTTATTTTTTCCTTTTTGTTGTTCTTGTGGTTAAATTTTGTCTTCACGGCTTTTGACGCTTTTTTTCCTGTTTTTTTGGGGGAGAACTTATAAAATTTTATGATTCCAGGGATTATTAAAAACGAAATTTTAATAACAGTGGGAGTTGAATTTAAAAATTAATATTTTTAAAGTTTTCATTTTCTATATACAGAAATATTAAATAATGACATGACAATAACATGCTACAAAAGAAGAGAAGTTCTGAGCCGATAAAATACTTTTCTCCCTCAAAACTAATTTTTTGATTATTAATTTTTAATGATTTTCTTCAGAAAAATTTTTTTTCTTTTGGGAAAAATTTATAAAGCGTGAAAAATCTGATATTAAAAATTAAACGGATTATTGTAAGAAAAAAGATTTGTTTTGTGTTAAAAAATGTTTTTATATTTTGTTACAAGGAAAACGTTTTTAATTTAAAAATAATTGTAAAATAAAATAAAAATAGAAAGAAGGAATGTGTCAACGACTTTTAAATATAAAATTGAGAAAAAAAATATTTTAGTAATGCCCTTTTCGGATATTTTCTATTAAATTTAAAAAAAAAATTTATGCTTAGTTCCATAGGTTTCAGTGGAGTCGGATGTAAATTATTAATGTTATAATAATCTATTAATTTATATATTTGGAACTTGCTACTTTTTCTTAAAATTCAATATAGTATCAATACAATCCACTATGACTTTAGAATTAGAAAGTTGGAAAAGTAAATTTTAAAAGTATAAGTTTAAAATTTTTTCTCTATGAAATTGTATTTGAAAGCTAGATCCATTCACAAGTTTTACAATATTTTGTAACATTATTGCAGAATTTTTATTTACAATTGGGAGTTAGATTTCTTTAAACATTGCAGTTTATCTTAAACGTGAAATTTGTTATTGAAAATCTCTTAGATTTCTCTTTCTTTTGATTTTTAACAATTAAAGTATTCATAAATTATTCTAAAACGTCAGATTATTCTAAGAGCCAGATGTATGGCAATGCAGTACTATCAAACTCGAAATTTTGTTTGCTACAACCGTCAAAAGTTCTTAATGAATTCATGAATTATTGCTATATTAGTTAATAAGCAACACATAAAATTAAAAAGCTTACAAGACAAATTTATTTTCTTAAAAAATTTATAAGCCCTAAACTTTTATGAATGCACCCGAAAAATAAACGAAAATTTAATTTCAGAATTTATTAAACAAAAACAAAATCTTTTTTAGCTACGTAATTCATTTTTATATAATACAAATTAATTAATTTTATTGAAAGGTTTCCAATAAGCATATTGGTTTAGTTGTTTTTTTAAAATTTAAATAAATATTTTATCATTTTTAAATACTGTTTTTCGCGTTTTGTTGTTGTTTTTCTTTAATTTGCTTGATAACAAATAAAAGTTTCTTTGTTTAAAAAATTAAGCTATTTCATGTTGGTTTGTGTCCAAAATAAAAAAAAAAAAAAAGTATGTATCCTATATTTATGCAATATTAGCTGGTTATTTTTATTTCATCTTTCTCCTGTAAGTCTGCAATTTTTGTTCTCTAAAATCAAATTTCGAAAATCGTACTTAATTTGTTTTTCTTGTTTTGCATATATTTTGGATCCAAATTAATTTTCTAATTTTTTGCAGGTTCTTGTAATGGATCGCATTCGAAAGAACAGTTTGAATCCACAGATAAATTATTTCAAATAAATGATAATGTACTAAATTCAAAAATTACATTTGATGATGAAAAAGTGACATTGCCAACCGATTTATTAGAAAATAGCGATGTATCAACCACCATTATTCCTACCGAAATTACAACAAAAGCCAATTCATTGCTAATAAAAAAAATTATAGAAAATGTTGAAGCTACTACGATACGCGATGATAGATCACAAGTAAACAATCAGACTTTCAATAATTCGGAAAAAAGTGAAGAAAATATTGAAACAGCAAAGGAACAAGGTGTCGAAGTAACAACTGAAACGCATATTGTAGACGCATTAATATCACCAGGAATTCCTGGTTCTACCTTAAATGAAAAAAGTTTAGATGAAGTTAGATATAGTAATAAAAGTGCATTGAATGAAGTTGTGAATGGTACAAATTCAGAGGAAAATTCTTTAAGTTCATCTAAAAATTTAATAGATTCAAGACCCAAAGAACACATTGAAATTCAAAAAATAACAACTGGCGAAGATTTAGAAGAAAGTATTAAGAAATCTGTGCGCGATGAAATATTGATAGAGAATCCAATCGATCAAAATGCTCTTGATGTACTAGAAAATATTCCAGATCCAGAACTTAGGGAATCAGTTGCTAGAGATATATTAGGAGATGATTATATTAGACGAACTGAATTAAATGCCAATATTAATGCCGATGCAATCAATGTAAAATATGAAACCATTTCACCTGACTTGGACTTGAAAGGTGAGTAGTTTAACTTTTTTTTGTTAATTTAACTTATTTCTATATTTCTATTTTTTTGCTTTTGTTTTAGAACAAAAAAATAATTCGGAAGACATTGAGTACAAAAAGTCAAAGGAAGAAATTTTGAATAACGTTCAACATCATGAATATGAAAATAGAGTTTTCGATGTAACAACTGCTGTTTCAGAAAATGAATCTAAGACAATTGATTTAGAAAAAAATTTAACAGACGAAAATAATTCAGTTTATACAACAAGTGTTGCTCCAGAAATTGATTACAAAACTGAAACTAAAAACGAAGTAACGGAATCTACTTTTGAAACTACTACAACATCAAAAGAATTAAATGTAGCAGATAGAGTTGAACTTCAGGAAAAGCAAAATAAAATGGACAAGGTCATATTAAATATGCCAGAAAGGGGGGGCAGAGCCATGATTTTTAGTAATTCTATAATTAATCATGATTTAATTGATAACACTTTAAATAATTACATGTCAACTCTTGCACCTACGGAATTTGTCACTGATTTGCCCACAACTGAAGTTATAAGTAGTTTATTTGAAAATCAAAATGAGGAAAAAACGATTGAAACAGTCGACAATTCTGGAAAAATAACAGAATATCACAGTTCAGAAAATGAAATTGAAAATAGTGTTTACGTCAAACCGTTTCTAAATTATAAAGACGAATCTGCCGAATTGGTTCAGCAACATAAAGTTTTCACTACTCTTTCGCCAATAAAACAAGACAAGCCGGAAATTTCTGTGCAAGAAGGAGAAATAAAGTATGGTTTTACAACTGAAATACCCAAAGCTGAAGAAGGTGATCAAATTTATTTTACTACTGAATCATTAAATGTAAATGATCTAAATAATGACCAACATCACACTCTAAAAAATTTTACTAGCAAAGAAGATGAATATTACAATAAAGCTTCTACATCGACTGAAGAATCGGAGATTGAAAATACTAGTACCATGTCTCAGGAAGGAAATGAATCTGTATATGTAGATCATGCAACGATTAATATCAAACCAAAAGAAATTTCAGATAGCTCCGATTCTGATTCGTCAGAGGAAATTGAAAATGTTAAGAAAGATAAATCATCGACTAAAAAGTCGAAGAAGAAAGATGACAAGTCGTCTAGTGCTTCAGATTCTTCTAGCGAAGAATCTGAAAGTGTGGAAAAATTTGGTGAATATGAAAATAAAAATTCTAAAACTAATTCCAAGGCAAAAGGTAGATCATTTCCATTAAATAGCACACCCCAATTAGTAGAAACTGGCATTGAACTATTCACACCTGTTCCGGAAGATTCAGTTTCCGAAAGCTCAGATTCAAAGGAAGAACATATAATCATGAAAAAACCAAGTGCCAAATCAGAAGATGAAAATACTGTTATGCCCATTATTGCTAACATAAAAACAACAGAAAATCCTAAATTGAATTTATTAAACCCCCGTTTAAAATTTCTATTAATACCAGATGAAACAAAAAAAATTCCACAACTAACTTTCGAGACAACTACACTTTTGCCCTTAAAAATTTTTAAATCTCACCCATTACAACCTGTTGTCACTGATGATATTCCAAACGAAACAAATTTTGCACCAAGAACCCTAGATGAAATAATTCCATCTCAACAAAAGGAACAACAACCTGCATATGAAAATGAAATTAATCAAATTTTAGAAACTGAGAGCACTACTAAATTAATTGGCGAAACATTTACAGAAGCTGTTGAATTAAGTAAAGAAATAAATCGTAATATGAATTTATTTCTTGACCCTTTTGAAACGAATCGTTCGATTTCTACTCTTAGTAGTGAGAATCATTCTACTTCAAGTGATGAAATTATGGCAGCATCAAGTATTGCTGAAGCTTTACCAAATCAAGATATAAAATCAATAGAAAGTTCAATGAATCCAACTTTAGTTGTATTAATATGTGTCAGCATTGTTATCATGATTATTGCTGTTTTAGTTGTAACATTTTTCAGATTTCGTACACCACAAGGTGTTTTAGATATTGAAATGCAAGAGCAACGTAATGGTAAAAATTATAATAACGATCATGATGACGAAACAATTAATGAAAAGGATTATAATTGCTGTACAACAGCTAGATCATCATCTACATCAGGTATTGAAGATACATCTGCATCATGTTCCTTAGTAACAACATCTTCAATAACATCAAGAAATAAAACATCATCACCTATATCAGCATCATCTGCATCAAAATCATCGGTAGTTAAAAGATCGATATCAGATAGTAGATCAAATAATTTATCAGCACAATCAGTTAGTCTATTATCAGAGGAATTAAATGATAAAGAATATGAAAAACAACATCAAAAAACGATACCAGCCGAAATGTGTAAATTAATACCAAAATTACAAATAAATGGAGATAATAATTTTGATGACGACGATGAGAACTTATAATAGAAATCATTTTTTTCCTTTTATTAAAAAAACATTATTTTAATGTGCCAATAATAACTGATATAATTTGCGATATATTTATAATTATAACACTAGTTTATATAAGAAAAAATAATAAATTTAATATTAAAACTTAAATATCAAAGATAAAAAGAGACAAAGCAATTACAGATAAGCAATAAAATAAAAAAAACACTGTTTTCTAATTACGCGTAAGCGATTTTTAATCAGATTTAATAGAACCTTTATTAAAAGTAAAAGAAATAATTTTTTGATTACTTTTTAAAAAACAAAAAAAATTCAATTTTTATTTAAATGTTTTAATTTTTGTTTTTTGCTCTTGGTACGATAGAAATTATACATCAGAGCATAAATGATAAATGAAAAAAATAGAAGGAAACAATTGAATCATTAAAACGAACAAAATAATAGGAGAAAATTTAATGCCAGTTTTGAAAAACTGTTTTATTCTGAAATCAGTATAAGCACAAATTTTATTGAATTTCAATAAAAATACCCCACTAATACGAATAATCTAAATAATCTTAATTAATATTAAATTTTTGAAAATCCAAAATTATTAAAAATTACTTTGCTAAAGCTCTTTTTTATCATTTCCTTATTAGATTTATTCCATAATTTAATACACTGACTAGGTATGTACATATAATATATATATAAAAGCACTGAATATTCAAATAACTGTATTGTTATAATCATTAAAAATGAAAATTTGCACAAAAATCTCATATCGTAATAACAAAGACCTGTTTAATTCGTTTACAAATTACAAGTAAATTTTTAACAAAATTATTAATACTTATTGAAATAAGAAAAAAGAACTTGTGTTCAGTATTGGAAGATTTTAATTTTGCATTAGAATTTTTATAATATCACATAACAAAATTAAATGTGCCTTAATTTAATAAAAGTATGAAAATTTAAAAAAATTATTAAAATATTATCAAAATTTTATAACAATTCTCACATCAATTCTTATATGTGCACTTGCATTTTAATAAAATTGAAATTTCTTCTGCAAATCTATATTAAAATATGAAATAAGAATACTAAAATTATAAAAATATTTTTTTAATACTTTATAGTAAAAGAAATTATATAAAAATTAAATTAGAATACATAGCCAAACCGATTCAAAAATAATTATAGTAGATATAAATTAAATATTGTTAATTTAAAATTATAAGAAATAAAAAAAATTTTGAAAAAATTAAAACGACCAAAAAATTTTTTAGATTGCATTCTATGTAGTAACAGTTCATGCATACGTTTCCAGGAACTTAGCATTGTCTACTAAGAAGAAAATAAAGATTATTTCTGTTGCTAGAAATATTTTTTTATATTGGTATTTAGTAACAATAGTTACTATATTGTCATATTATTAAAGCATATTATGAGAAGAAACAAAGTTGTGGGCTGTGTTCTAATACGATAACGGTTTTTGTTTTTGTAATGAGGTGATTTAAAGACTTTCTTCCATAAAAAATAGGGCATTTTTAGTAAAAACAGTAAAAACTTAAAAAATACATTTATTATTATTTTTCTATTATTAATTTGTTAAGTAAGCAAAACATAAGTAAAAATTGAATTAGTAGGCGAGAGTTTTTAGACATAACACTTTGTTTTTTTTTCAATAAAAATTATAAGTGTTAAAAATTTCAAATTAACTACCTAAAAATTAAAAGAACTAATTTTCGGTTTGCATGTAGAAGTTCTTGCAAATTGATATTTTTTAAAACAGCTTCTTTAATTTTTAATATGTATCTTCAATACCTGACGTAGATGACGATTCATACTAAATGAAAATTCATAAAATATACATAAATAAATATGGTCAAACTTGAAATTTCCAAACGTTTCAATAACCAATTAACCCTGGTAAGTATACCAAGCATAACAAATTTATTTCAAAATTTCTCTGATCAGTAAACCACAAATAATATAAAATGCTTGAAATAAATGCGTAGTAACATGCTATATTTATACACACATATTATGTACACATGTATGTATGTTAAAACAAATTGTTGATTTCGATTAACGCTTTTCTATGTTTAAAGAGCTTATAGTGTATAATATTATTATTCGCTATAGAATACTATTAAAATATATCCGCTATAGAATATAACAATGTACCTGTTGTTATCATAATAGTCAAGTGCGTTATCGTTTTTTGACCACAATATTTGCATTAGCTTTTTTATCAACCATACTCGATTTTTTTTCTCGTTATACAAACTTACCTAGACGTTTTGCTATTGCATAAAATTGTAAAATTGATTGTGTAGTATCTAGGTATATACATTTTTACTTTATTTATTTCCATTCATTGTTCGTACAATAGTTTTGATTGAAGAGAAATAGGAAATTGGTATTTGTTTTTGTATCTGATAAATAAACAGCTCAATTCTGTTATTTAAAACTTTGTTTTGTAAACAATAAAATTTTTGATATTTATGCCACAATTAATCATTTCCAAAAATATAGGCCGCATATCACATTATAGCGTAGAATTTTTGAAACAGCATTCTTTGTTATAAAATTTAAAAAGAAGCAAAAAAATGTTATCATGATTACATTTTGAAAAACTTTCAACAACTTCTGTTTTTGAACAATGTATAGAAAAATTTACCCTCCCAAATCAATTTACAATTTATGAAATCATAATCTATAATTTCCGTACAAACTAGTGTTCTATAGCTTTTCGACTATTTGTATAAAGTAAGAGGGCAAAAATTTACCAGTAGTAAACAAAAAACCAAACCTATTTCTTAAAACGTTTAAACAATTTTATAGTTAACAATTTAATACTGATCTTTTCCTATCTGCATATACCAAATTGTTACAATAAAGACATTAAATAAATATGTACATACATACATATATAAAACTGCAATAGTTAAACATCAATTATATCTAATAAAAAGAATTATTAAGGCGCAATTATCAAATCGTCGGTTAAAAAGCAGAAAGCATTAAGCCAGGAAACTGTGTTTTGAGTAAAGTCAATTTGAAAAAATCGTAAAATTGTAAATCTAATCAATTAGTGCAATTGGATTGGTCTCTTTAATTTCTGGATTTATAAACTACGTTCTGAATTTGCATAATTTTTTGCCACAACAAAGATTATATTATTCTGATTTAATTCATCTATGAAATCGGAATTCTCAAAAAATGCACTTAGTGCTTTCTGCTTTTTAACCGACGAAATTATATTTTTGAGAAATTCCATGAAAGATATTTTTGAAACTTTTTCAAAAATCCATAATGTTTTGTGCAATTTGAGAGCTTTTATCGGTGTAGGAATTTCACAGCTATGCTAAGAGGATATATGTAGGTACATCACTTGGGGATATTATTTAAAAATTTTGTATACTTTTCAAGATTAAAATGCGTTTAATTCAAAATTTAAAATTTAATACTAAAGCTTTCACTGATTTTCAATAACATCCCATCACCTCAAATGAGAATGTAAGACGATATTACTCTTATTTTGATCGGCGAAGCGAATGACTAGTCGAGTCGGATGACATTTAAATTAATAACTACCAATTTTGTTTTTTTTTGCAGAAAGAATTGGATTTTTTTATCCCTTTAGCAATGTCGCGGTTGTTCTCCATTAATTTAATCAATGCTCGAATTGTTTTTGGTTCGTTTTTTTCACGCTTAATTAATAATTTCCAAAATTTTATAAACTTACTTTACAGATAGTTTAGATTTTTCTATTATATCACTATAAATGTTATAAAATTAAATAAAAAAAAACACTTATGTATTATTTTGAGCTTTGGTCTCATTCGCCAAAACTTGTCACACAGAATTTTCATTCAACAGATTTGACAGTTCATTCACATAAAATTTAGGCGAATTCACTTATCATAATACTAAAAATTAATATTCGCCAAAAATTTCATTCGCTTGGCCGATCAGAATAAAGGTCTAAGAGTGATTATCTCTTTTTACACTGAAGATCATTTTGATATGATTAACTGAATATTTTTATTACCCTTGTTATAAAGGCATAAATATCATAAGTATGAGAAAAAATTTCAAAAAGAAACACAGGTGATTCTTTCTACGAAAAAATTTTTTTATACAAATTTAATAGAACAAAGCAAAATGTATAATTTCCTACATTATTTTTAATTTATTTTCATTATCTACATAAAAATTACATTAAAATTTCTTCGTTAAATTATTTTTATTTTTTTACATTTTCCACAACAACTAAACAATTAATTTTATCTTTAAATGTTAACAGAGTTGAAGTTTATTTATTCACACCCATCCTGTGACAATGAGATTTCACTTTCATGTTTATATTACGATTATTCTAATTTCAATCTAATGTCTGGAATTTAAAAATAATTTGTATGTATCTTATGCATTGCAAAATGGAATTTAATTTATAAACTTAAGTATATGTACAATAAACACATGGGTATGTACGTGTGTTCACGTGTAAAGAGTTACATGTAGTTGTTATGGGAACTTCAATTTTAAATAAAATTTAATGTGAAATCATAATTAAAATTTTGTTCAGTTGAACAGGTGAAAACAAACATACATACTTCTTATCAATATTTTGTAGTTTTATTATATTTTTTTTTTAATTTTTTTCTTAGTTTTGTACTTTGCGCTTAAATATACGAGGTTTTTCCCATACATAGTGGTTTGTTATAAAAAATTGAATGAAATGATTTCATTCACAGAATTATTATGATTGCGATATTATTCTAGTTTAATATTTCTTATCATTATACAATCTTGAGTTTTACTCATTCATAATACTAAAATATATTGTATAATCAGCGTACAATTTTTTTTTTCAAAAGCACATAGGTATGAAATAGTTTCTTAAGTCACGATTTTCAATTTTAGAATATACACATACTTAAACACCTAAATATGTAGGTATATTTAATGAAAACAAATGTGTATACTTAAAATTAAATATTTATAAAAAAATACATAAGAGTTTTCTTTCTTTTCAAAATGAACCATGAAACGAGCATAACTTTTCTTTGGTGGTCTTACACATTATTATTATCGTTAGAATTATACAATGTACACTATTAAAAATTAAAGTAATGTGTGAGGTAGAGAGCTTCTTCAATTTTTATATCTCCGTTTTTCTCTGTTTGAAATGAAGATAAGTTCCGTCATTATTGTATTTTCTTATATGTTTGTATAATTATTTATATATAAATTTATAATAATGTTTTTCCCATATCACATGGTGAATAATTACAAAATTTATATGATTACATAAATACCACATTTTGTTCGAGTATAGGCTTGGATTTATGAAAAAAATCATTTGGTGAATGATGAAAACATAATAATTACCCAATAACCACTAAAAGTAACAGCTAATTAGTAAATCTTTTCGGAGTATCTACGTGTATTAATTTTTAAGTTAGAACATGAAAATTTTTTAACTTTTACTATCATGCCATAATGTAATATCACTATTTGTTTTGTTGTAGCATTAATAATA